GGGGTGTGTAAGGGGGAGAGGGGAGTGATTTGAGAAAGTTTCTAGAATGGAATGTCTTCCAAGCTATTTGAGGAAGGGAGTGAGTCTGAAAACGGAACCAGAGGAGGGCGAAGGAAGGGTGATTTTGTTAAATGGTATGTTGCCTTGGGTGGTTTAAAAACTCCATTTGTCAGGTGGGAAAATTGAGGCCAGGGAGACTGAGAAGCTCTCAGCTTCTGGGTGGTGGGTGTGAGGTGGGTGGAGCTGTGTGTGAGAATTTGTCCTTAGCCTCAGCCTCTTCCTTTCCCCGGTATTATTGTAGTCTTCCAATGCCCTGGTGCTCCTCCCCTCCAGTTTGTGGTACGTTCCTGCTATGGGACTGTCGCTGAAAGCACAAAAGGAGCTGCTGGGATCTTTGAATAAAACAGAGTCACTGAAAGGAGGCTCTGAAATAAGCCTCCACCCTGAGAAGTCAGGGTGAGGGAAAAGGACTTTGTGCAAGTTTAGACACAGAATAAAGGCAAATGGGTTTATATTGCAGCAACACACAGAATGGCCAGACAGAAGGAAGGACTTCCCAACATTGAAGGTTGTTGGGCATGAAGGTTATACCCTCTTTCTGGGTGTGGAGAGGTCCTTTTGTCTGGGATGGCTTGACATGCACCCTTGAGCCTGCCACCCCTATTGGTCTTGGGGTCCTTTTAGCTTAAAAAGACTATTTGTATGTGAGTTAAGGACCGAGGTGTAGAGTCCCATGATCTGGTTTCAAGTCCTGGCTCTGCCACTTGCTGGCCCTGTGACCTTGGACAAGTTGCTCAACCTTTTAAACATGACTTGCCTCAATGGAACATAGGCTTAACAGAATGAGCTTGTAGGGTTTTTTGGTGAACGTTAGTGCTGTAAAGAAACGAATGACTACCTGATATATATAGTAAGTGCTCAATAAATGTTAACATTATTATTATTATTATATTCAGTATCTCTGGGGTTCCAGGCCCCTTCTCAATTTATCTACCTTCGGCTGTTCAGGGCATTGGGAGCTGGAAGTGTCCAGAGGGAAGATCAGAAGTCCGCCTGTGTCAGGAACCAGTACCCTTTCCAAGGCTGACCTTGTCTGGGGAGAACCTCTTTTCCCTCTGAACCCCAGGGAGGTGCGCAGAGGGCGTGCAGACCTCAGGACTGCTTGGAAAGATCCGCAGAACTGGGAGTTCTGTCAGTGGCCAGAGGCTCGTGGGAAGGATGCAGGGAACCCAGGAGGCAAGCAGGTCATAGCATCACAGCCTCTGGAGGGAGGGTGAGGGGACCTGTGTGGCAGGTCTTTGCTCACATGGGAAATACCGGCCGCTGTTCGAATGCTGGCTCTGTGTGAGAGCTCAGCGGTTCTCGGACTGGCAGAGGCGACTTCTGGGGAGATGCCTGCGAGGTAGGGACTTGGAGATGCCCAGCCTTGGGGGTTTGGCTGAAGCAGGGGTTGCTGTAGCAGAGGGGTAGAAGGTAATGGGCCGCATAGGCAGTGTCGGGTTGGGACAGAGTTAGGGATGGCTCCCCTTTTGACTCTGATCATGTGTGTCTGGATGGTGATTAAGGTCAGCGGAGAGGTTGGGGAGGTATTTGGAGTATGGGAGATGGTGACTGGAGACTCAGCATCCCAGACTGAGCAAGCCTGGGGGAGGACCCCGGGCCATGCCTGGATGACTCTGGACCTGCCATACAGGAGAAGTCTGGGCCTTTATTCCCAGGGCTGCCTCCTCCTGTCCACCACAGATTCTGTGGCTGGATTAGCCCTGACTACAGTGTCCCCAAACCAAGAGGGGTTTTGACTCAGGTCCTGCTGCTACAGTGCCCTCTACTCTCTGCCTGGCCTTGACTCTCCTTTCTTCCCTTTGCCAATGAAGATGGGAGGGAGGAGGTGCAGACCAGGAGGCTGCTAACAAGACCCCATGGGCAGTCCATCAGCAAGGGACTCTGCCCAGCAAGTGGCCAAGTGGTATGTGTGTGCATGTGTGCCTGTGTGTGTGTCCCCTGCACGCACGCCAGAGGCAGGGGTGTGTCTGGCAGCATGCATCCTAGGAGAAGCTGAGGATGGGATGTGTCAGAAAGGGCATGGCAGCGGGGCAGTGGGAAGAATCAGCTTTCAGTTCCTGGCCCGAGACCCAACATGCCCCCAGACTTGGAGTAGGCAGGTCCCAGAGCTGGTGGTTTCATGTTTGTGGCTCTGAGACAGAAAGATAGAATCTGGTTACCCAAGGAGCGGAGGCTGCCTGGCTGGGGAGATGCTGAAACTCAGCATCTCTCTGCTCCTCCCTCTTTCCTGGCTCCTGGCACTGCTCTCCTGAGTTTTTCTCTCCCCTCTGCCCACCCCAGCCAGGGTGGCCTGGCCTGCTGCTCTGTCTTCTCCCTTGACCCTGTCTTTTTCAGGCCTGCTGGCTGCTTGCTTCTCTCTCCCCGCCTTCCTGTGTGCTGGGGGTGGGGGGGGGGCTGGTGTGAGGGTGGGGAGATAAAGGGGGCTAGGCCTGAGATTTAATGCACTTCTCTTCCTCTTGAAAGTCTCCTCCCTCCCCAGACACATCCTGTGACCTTCTCAGGCTGGGACCCAGGGTCTCAGGGGGGCAGTTTTCTTCTCTCTGCTGCCTAGGATGGGTTAAGCAGCTTGTGTGAAGAGTGGCTCTGAATTTTGAAAAGAGCTGTAATTGGTGTGAGCTGTCTGCAGATGTGTGCCACACCCCTGTATAGGTGTGCATGTTTGTGTGTATACATGCCTGTGCCTATATGGGTGTGCACATACCCGTGCCTATATGGGTGTGCACATACCCGTACGTGTGTGCTTGCGCACTTGTGTGTTTGCATGCACATGTACAGAATGTAGCAGGACAGGGGGACGGTTAGGCTCCAGGCATGACGTGGGGAGTGAGACTAAGAGCAGATACCTTACTTTCCTCATCTCCTGCTCTGCACCAGAGTCTAGGAAGCCCAGAAGTTTTCGAAGTTGGAGGCTCAGCCCCAGGGCTGGATTGAAAGATGCCTGAGGGCCCTGAGAGGAAACTTAGGTGGGGGGAAGGGACAAAGCCAGGCAGAGCTCCAGGGGACACAGAGAATGGGCCTGTCTTGCTACAGTGGGCTCTGGTATCAGTTTCCTGTTAACGCAGTGCACTCTAGAGTAGAGAAGGGGCTGGTTCCCGGGGAGATGGGAGCGGGAGCTGGAGCTGCAGAGGCAGCTGGTAGCCTGGCCCCCTCAGGGGCACTGCCCTCGGGTGCCAGCTCGGTCTGCCCGAGGCAGCTGACCTATTTTTCTTAGGAATCTTCCTGCTTTTCTGTTCTCTCTTGCGTGAATTAGCAGGAGACTGGTGAGCAGAGACAGGGCCTCCGTAAGGGTTTTGGAGAACAATTCCATGTGAGCCAAAGCTTTGAGGGAGGTGCCAGCCAGCCTGACTGTCCTTCTGAGAAGAGAGGGGACCGGGACAGTCCCCTTAGCCTGTCATCGTACCCCCAGTGCCCTTACCTCCCTCCTGGTCACAGTCACCCACCGAGAAGGTCTGTGGCAGCTAGCTTGCACCCAGGCTCGCCTTCACAAATTATACGAGGTGAGCCACTGTCCTCATTTTCTGGCTTCAGAGGAGGGAATGCTGGTGCTTCACTGTCAGTAAATATGGGGCTTCGATTTCCTACTTCCTTATCTTGTCTTCCCCGAGGAGAGGAGGGTGGCCTGGTGCAGGCAGAGCCCACGGTGCCCTCACCTGGCTGGGCCTGCCTGCCTGCCGGCTCTGGAGGACACGCGTGCACTTGGCCACGCGTGAGTGTGCAGGGTGCAGGCCTCCACCATGTGGCGGGGCTGTGGGGGTGGGGTGTGGCTTTGCCTTTCTGCTGAGGAGCCATTAAAGGAGCAGAGCGGAGGTTGAATTACTGACTGCTTCCTGTCAGTGGCTCATGGGGAAAAGGCTCTTGGAAATACAATCTAGCTGAGAGCAAATTAAGGTTGCTAATAGCATCGCTGCCTCGGGGGCCGCTGAGGGGAGCCCAGCCAAGAGGGTTGGGAAGGAGAGGCACCCATAGGAGGAAGGAGGCCTGCAGTTCCTGCCCCTCCCCCCAGTGCCTTGCTGTTTGGAAGATGGAAGCTTTCCTGGCTAGGGCCTGGCTGGACTCACCTGACCTCTGACTTCCCACCCTGAGAGGTTTGATGGGGAATGGGGGCCGGAAGGGCTGTGAGGACACTTGATGGGGAGACCATGGAAGGTGGGGACTCTAATGTGAGCCTGCCTACGCTGGGTGTGGGGGCCCTTGCTGGAGGCCGAATGATGGCCAGATGACCGATAGCCCACCTGCCTTCAGGAAAGAACAAGGACATGACCAGATGTTTTGGTCTGGTGTCCATCTCACGCTTGTAGAGTGTTGTTTGCTCGGGGCAGTAGGGAGTCTGTCCTCTGCCTTCCTCAGGCCGCCCCCCTGGGTGTGTACCGCTGTGGGAGGCTCCCTGGGAGCCTGTGTCCCCAGCTTCCTGGAATCTCCTGGAGCCTCCTGGCTTGTTGGGGAGGAGTGATTGGGGGACTATTGGGGGCTGTGCCTTTTTTGGACTCAGCAGGGATTATTCTTAGGCTGGCAGATGGAGGTGGCGGTGGCTGTCGCTGGTATTATTAGACAACAGGCCTGTGGTTTGGGAGTCTGGTGCCCAGAGGAGGAGGGGCAGGGGAGGAGGAGGAGGAGGAGGAGGAAGAAGAACGGGAGGCTCCAGTAAGGACTTGCACTCATGAATGATGGAGGCTGGTGCTCACCCCGTGATCTTCCCTTACCGCAGCCACTACCAGACCTACCCAGAGGCTGCGGAGTGATGCTGAGCCCAGAGTCAGTCACAGGACGCCAGCTGCATCCCGCCGCAGGCCCACCGAGTCTTTCTTCTCTGTGGAGGCCTGAGCAGAGCGTGCAATGGGGAGGGACAGCTCTCTGACTCAGGGAGGAAAGGGCGGGGCGCTGAGTCTGGGGTGCCACGCAGCAGGGGCCTTTGTGCCCGGGGCCTGTGGTCCGGCAGGATGGTGTCCGTGAGTGCGGGCAAAGACGAGACGTGGCAGCTGGAGCCTGACTGCCCCACCTGTCCCCGAGTCACTGCTGAGCCAGGTCGCCTCCCAGTTTGCTCATTTGTGAAAATGAGCTAGTAGTACTTCTGTCAGGTGGGCACTGTGAGCATTCCAGGAAATTTGTGTTACATGCCCGCCCGGCCCAGAGCCTGCTATGTGGTAGGTACTTAGAGGAAGTTACGTTGCCTGACAGCCAAAGTGCCCCCTGCTCTGGCTCTTAGACCTTCTTAGGCATTTAGAGTGTCTCTCATTCTCAGGGACCCTCCCTCCTCCAGCCCTGCCCTGCTGGAAGAGCCCCCTGCTGTGAGTGTCGGGCACAGGGTTTGTGCCAGGGCCTGGCTCCTCATGGTTCTATGCCCACAAGGGATCCAGTGGCAGTCTGGACTTGGCTGCCCACCGGGCACCACCTGGCATAGAGAGCAGGGGATTTGTACTCTGTGGGCTTCCCAAAAGGTCAGCCAGACAGCAGGGGCTACCTCGTCCTCCGTCCTCCTTTGCTCTCCTGCTTTCTCTTCCCTCTCCCGATAAAACAACTCCAGAGTGGGCTGGGCAGAGCCCCAAAATGCAGATTCGCTCTGCTCAGGGGACTGCTGTTTCCTGCCTCCTCTAAAACGGGTATGTGGAATCCAGGGCACTTCAGGCCTCCTACCGCCCTCACCCCTGCAGATGCCAGTTTCCCCTTTGAGGTTGGAGCCTCATCTCTTGGGGCTGCTGTAGGCTTGTTTGGTGGGGAAGGGGCCTGGGGGTGTCACCCCCTCTTGCAGCCCCTCCTCACCCAGGTCACTATCCGTCCTTCCCTTCCCCTCTCTCCCTGCCCTGTTTTCCCTCACTCTCCCTCCCTCCTTCTTCCTCCCTTCAGAACCAGTGGGCAGTTGCCCCAGTCAGCCCTGCTGGGGAGAAGCCTACTCGCTCCCCAAAGAAATCGCCTCCATTCTGTCTCCCTCCTGGTTCTAGGGTCCTCTGAAGGCCTGTGTCTTTGTGTCCCCTGTGCCCCAGAGTTCTCTCTCCTGCCCTGGACTGGGCTCTGCCTGTGTCCGGTGTGCACTGTGCCCGTCCCTGCGTCTCTCTCCTTCCTGGTTTCTTAAGTTTCTTTCACTCTTTGATTTGGGTTTAGTGTCCTCCTGGGTTAGAGTTTATCTCTCTCTCCTCCATCAAGCCCCTCTTCCCTTTTTACTGCCAGCTTGTTTACTTTTTCTTTCTTGCTTCGAGCTTTTCTGGGCAAAGTGTTTTATTAGACATGCTTTGGCTCAGAAGGGATCAGGCTTAGGAAGAAGTGCCTATAGGTGAGGAGTGAGAGTGCCGTGTGTGTGTGTGTGTGTGTGTGTGTGTGTGTGTGTGTGTGTGTGTTGAGGAGTTGAGGAAGCTGATAAATATTTAGGGTTCAGGTGTCCGTTAAGCATGTGCCTTCAGCTCAGGTCATGATTCCAGGGTCCTGGGGTCCTGGGATCGATCATCGATCATCGATCATGATGATCATCCATCCAGGCTCTCTGCTCAGCGGGGAGCCTGCTCCCCCCCCCCCACCCCGTCCCTCTGCTGCTCCTCTTGCTTGTGCTCTCACTCTTGCTCTTTCTCTCTCTCTCAAATAAATAAAATCTTAAAAATAGGGTTCAGAAAACCAGGAGGATTGGACCGAGTGCAGAGGCTGGAGCAGGGGCTCCCACCCCTCTGCTTTCTTCTTGGGAAACACCATCTCTTTTTGCCTTGCTTAGAATCCTTGGGATGCTTATCTCGCTGAGTCCCCTCTCCCGCTGCTTGTCCTTGGCTGAAAGGGTCCTTGTGCTGAGAGGAGGGGTGAGGCCTACTGGTTGGGGTGGGGGGCGCTGGCCTTGGGTTGCATGCTCAGTCCTGAGCCCAGGGGCCGGCTAGGGGGTGGGGCTGGGAACCTGGAGCCAGCGCCAGTGCCAGGGGAGGTGTGAAAGAGACTGCCTCATTGCCATGCGGTGAGAATGAGGCAGCCCTGAGCAGCCGGCACTGTGGGGACCCGTTTCAGAGTCAACCCACCCCCTGGCATTGCCCCCGAGAGCCCTCAACCCCGGTAGCCGGGGAGCTACAGAGCCGAGCTTCACTGCCAAAGGTGGGCAACCGCCTGCTCAGCAGTGCTGGCCATTTCCTCAGACCCTCTTCCTCTTGCCTTAGGCTTTAGGGCTAAAGCCCTGGGAAGGAGCCCCCTTCTGTGGACAGCCTCTGTCCCCCACACCTGGTAACCAGGCCCTGGAATAGTTCCTTCCTCTTCCCCTAGGCTCCTGTATTTCTCTTTTCACCTCCTGGAAAGTGTGTGCAATGCACACTCACATATACATGCACACAGTCACATACACACATATACACACTCACACATGCACACACACATTCCCTCATGAACACACATCCATGTCCTTTTGCTAAGAGCTACACATATGCACACATGCACATACATTCATACACACTCATACATCCTTTTGCCATGAGCTGCTCTCATGCACACAGACTCTCACATGCGTACACACATTGCTCCCCCTGCTCGCTCCTGGTGCCCGCTGTTTGCCCATTCCTTCTGGGTCCAGGATCAGCCTTTGTGCTCCTGGAGGCTGGGAGGCAGGCTCTGTGCCTATCTAGGTGCCCCTGGGGTTGTGGGGGAGGGGCCTGCTCCAGCTGAGCCCTCTCCTTGCTTTCCTTGAGGGGTTGGAATTCAAACCTAGCCTGAAGCAAGGTTGCGGGTGGGGGGATTGGGAAACCTGCTGGGGCCTCAGGCAGGTGAGTGCAACACTCTGCTCTGCTCCAAAAATACTCTGTGATCTTAGCTCTTTCTCTAGAAAACAGTGATGTCACCAGCAGCCAATCAGCTTCTAGAAGAGCTTGCCTCCTCCTCCTTCCGCAACTTAGGGAGGAGAGGGAGAGGGGGATGGGGAGGGAGAGAAGGAGAGACACAGAGATGAACAGACAACGTGTAGGCAGACATGAAGAGAGATGCAAACACAGAAACGTAAGCACACAGAGAGCCCTCCACACAGAAAAGCAGGGAGAACCTCTTCCCGGTGTATAGGCGAAAGGAAATCCACACATTTCCCCCAACACACACACAAAGACATACATACTGATAGAGACATGAAACTGAGAAAGACAGACAAGTAGAAGCATTCACATAGAGGGGGAGCTAAAGAGGAAAAGACAGAGACACAGAGACTTGAAGAGAGACAGAGCGGCACAGAGAGACATGGAGAAGGAGTAGGAGAGGGAGACTTCTGTCTCAGAGCCAGAGAGACAGAGGAAGAGTCAGAGAGACCGACAAAAAGAGTCTAGAGACCTCTAGAAGGAGCCAGAGATGCAGAGACATGAAGGAAAGACAGAGACGAGAGAAGGAGACAGGCAGGAGCACACAGGGGTCAGAGATGCAGTAAGAGTCAGATGCAGAGGTACCATGACAGAAAGGCAGACAGACAGATGTATAGAGGGACAGATGGACAGGCGGACGCCGTTCTTCTGGGCATCCTTTCTGTGGTGGGAGGACCCATCAGCTTTTGGCTCTGTGCCTCTCATAGAGCAGCTGCTGTCCTTGGTGCTGCCTGGAGGGGCCCAGCCGGTATGGCGAAAGGAGGCGAGTTTGGATGGGGCGAGCTGTGGTCTAGTCCGGAGTTGTGTTGGGTAGTGTGAGGGAAGGCAGGAGGGAGAGGCTTCTCTAGGCTGTCCCTTTCACTGGGAAACAAGCTGGACAAGGTGACTTTGTAGGCACGGAGTCGTCGTGTGGGAGGGAGCAGTTTCAGGCTGAAGGTGGGGGCAGCACGCCTCCTGTCGGGGCTCGGGAGCAGGCTGCCCGGTGAGAAGCAGCGCCTGAGTTAACCTGTTCTCTGTGTTCTCCAGCTTGGGGGGGGGGGTCTCTCTCCACTTTGCCTTCCCAATGCCAAGAGGATGCGTGCACCCTATCCAGACGTATGTTTTATCATCTGCCAAAGTTGGGGTGATTTCCCCAGACCCAGGGGTCCCGCTCTGTCCCCAACACCCTGCTTTTCTAATGGTGATGTCTGGGGCTTGGAATTTTGAGGGCTGGAGACCCCTCCTGCTCCCCTGTCTGCAGCAGGCGCAGTGGGGCAAGGGAGGAGGGGCCTGGAGAGGCCAGTCAGGCCTGTGGGGTTTTCCCTCTAGTGTTGCCATGAGCAGCCTCTGCTCAGCTTGTTAGGGATTCCCCCTGCTTCTGTATGGAGTACTCTTGTTTTGTGCTGTGAACATCAGGCTGAGCTGGGGGTGGGGCGTAGGAGGAGGCTGTCTCTGCCGCTCCTACCAGGCTCTGGTGGGAAGCATCCTGCACAGGAAGAGATTCCATATTTACACTCTCAGCTACAGCAGGCCCCTGTAGCCCAGGCTGCGGGTCTTCACAGCGAGGCTGAGGCCCCTCTACTTTCTCAGTAGCCAGACCCCTTAGAACTGTTTGGGGGGGGTACAGTGGGGGAGGACATGATCATGGCTGTGCTCTTTGGATTGGGGAGGGAAGATTTGGCTGGCAGGACTGGAAAGAACTGCTTCCTTCTCTTCTTCCCCATCTCAGGTTCACGGATACCTGGGACCCCCAGGGCCGTGGGAGGTATGAGCAGGGAGGGGGAGAACGGGTTCAGGGTGCATTGGGGACCCTCTGGGGAGTGACTGAGCTTTTCAGGAGGAGGGCCTTGGGGAGGGGGGTGGGGGATGGAGGTCCTTGGGCTCGGATGGGCAGGGGGCTGCCTCTTGGGCTGCAAAGGCAAGATCTCCTTGTCACCTCCCTTTGTGCATCCCAACTTTGCTGACCCACTAGCTGCCCACGGCCTGCGAGAGGAGCCCGAGTTTGTGACCGCAAGAGCCGGTGAGGCCGTGGTCCTGCGATGCGACGTGATTCATCCGGTGACGGGACAGCCCCCGCCCTATGTTGTGGAGTGGTTCAAGTTTGGGGTACCCATCCCTATCTTCATCAAGTTTGGCTACTATCCACCCCATGTGGACCCTGAGTATGCAGGTAAGGTCTGGGCTGCAGGGGGCTCCCCCCACCCCACCCTGCCATTTCATCTCCTGGTTTTGGCATGGCTGGCCTTTTCCTTTTTCAGGGGTCATGGTCACTGTTCCTCCGGCCTGTCTCTCTGTTGCCGCTTATCTTTTTCTGACTGGTCTGTTATCTGTTCTCCGTAGTCTCTGCCTCTTTCCTCCCATCCTTGGGACTTTGGTAGGTTTTAATTAAGTGGTGGGGAGGAGAGGGACGAGGTGGCGCCGACACAGAGCATCACAGCACAGCTGGGGATGTGCAGGGGCAGAGGCGGGAGTAAGGACAAGGAAGCCCAGAGAGCCCACCGTGCGGGACAGCAGGGCTGCACTGGAGGATAGCTCTGTGCAGGAAGAAGCTGAGTCAGAGCCGTGCTGCCCTTGGCCCGGCGTGTGCTGGTGGCCACTGTGGACTCGGCTCTGTCTGCCTTGGCCCACTCCCTCCCTCTGGCTCTGACGTTGGGGCCTCATCCCATCCCTGAGCGGAGGCAGACGTCTGGGGCTAGTTCGTGCCACGGCGGTGGGCACCTGCTTTCTGCCTCCTCTGCCACTCCGGCCTCCCTCCCCCGGGCCCCCGGGTGTCTTGCTCTGCAGTTGCTCCCTCCGGCAGGGGCCTTGCTGTGTGTCACTGCTGTGCCTGCCCGCCAGCCGGCCAGGGAGGAGAGCGTGGGGTGTGCGTCAGGGTGCATATGTGAATGGGAGTGTGAGTGTGTGTGTGTTCACGAGTGCATGTGTGTGCTGGGGTTTTAAAGGAAGACAGGACGCTGGCAGACCTTGCTCTTATCTTTACTTCTGACTCCTGAGGTCTGAATTGCACTTCTCCCAAAAAGTTTCCGCTTCTCTCTCTCTCTCTCCCTCTTGGACCCATCTCTCACTCTCTTTTTGGCCGTGGTTGGTTTTGACATTCTGGTTTTTAGGCAGATTGCCAGCGTTGAGACAAGGATGAAAACAGACACTGGAGAAGCGGTGGGCTGAGGTGGTGGGTGAGGGAAGGGTGGGCCTTCAGGGCCGCTCCTCATCCTGGGCTCCCATTCCGCTTGCCTCCTGCGGCATCTCTTACCTTCTCATCTCCATGAGTGAGACAAAGATGGCCTCCTAATGGGGAAGAGGTTGGAGTCAAGGAGCGTAGCTGGGGGGCCTCTGCTCTGCCTGCCAGCCCTAGCCTCATTCTCGGGCCTATGGGCCCTGGTGTCTCCCACCACTCTTGTCCCTGCCTGCCCTCCCTCTGCTTTACCGTAGGTCAGCCAGGCAGAGAGGTGCTGGGCGTGGGGACCCAGGTGGGAGGGGGATGTCACTCAGCCTGAACTGAGGTTCAGGGGCCTACCCTAGAGTCCCCTACCTCGCCTTCTTCTGTTTGCCCCTTTGCTCCCTCCCTTGCTTCCTCCTGCTCTCTTTCTTCAACTCTGCATCCCCCGTGCCCTTCCTTTGTCCCAAGAGACCTGCAAAAGGACAGGAGTATTCCAAGGGACTGCAGCTCTTCCCAGTGCCAAACCCAGAGTTACAGTTGCAGCTGGGTGGGGCCAACTGAGGCTGGGAGAATGTCTCCGTGGCCAGGCTGCGTGCCTTTCCCTTTGCCGCCTGCTGCCTGGGGTTGGTGCCGGATGTAATTTTGAGGCCCTGCCATGGGAAGTGGTTGGAATGTTACAATGGGTCCTCTGCCTTTGGCGGGCGTTGTGCTGCTAGCCTCATCCTGATGGCTTCCTGGGCTTTTGTCCACTTTCTTACTGCAGGCCGGGCAAGTCTTCATGATAAAGCATCCCTGCGGCTGGAGCAGGTTCGCTCTGAGGATCAGGGCTGGTACGAGTGCAAAGTGCTCATGCTGGACCAGCAGTATGACACCTTTCACAATGGCAGCTGGGTCCATCTTACCATCAACGGTGCGTATGGGCCTCATTCCTGGGGATGGGTGGGTGGGGAGTGACCTGGAAGTCTACACTCTGAGGACCTGCTTTAGGGGAAGCCTCTTTCCTGACTGTACCCTATCCCTGCGCCAAATCTCTGCTGCAAGGACTAGTCAGCAGGGCTGGGCCCCGTTGAGTTAGCAGCTCCCACTTCCTGCTCCCCCTCAGCTGTCTCCCTAGAGCCTCTGGGGTCAGTGGAGGTGCACGGGAGAAGCAGCACAAAGTGGGGTTTGCTGTGGGTGTTGGCGTCAGAGTTCCTTAGAGGGAGGTCGGAATCTGGTTCTTGAAACCAGAGGGTTAAGGCTTTGTGGAAGCCAAATTTGTAACTGCTGACGCCATTTCTCAGCCTTGGGAAGACCCTGCTAGCCCAGGAAATGCCTTCCCACACTAGTGGGATTCCTGGAGTCCCACCATGACAGTTTTCCTTTTTAGGTTAATATTTTGGTTCCTTGTTAAATATGTTCATTTGAGTGACATGCAGTGAGGGTCTGTTGTGTGCTTTGCCTGCACCAGGTGATAGGAAAACGGTGGTGACAAAGTCCAGACATGGTCCCTGCTTGTACTGGGTTTACTGTCCAAGGAAATGTAAGAATCCCGTGAAGAGTAACCATTTTAATGGCTGTCAGGTGTTTATAGCTCTCATGAAGTGAATTGTGCTGTGTGTTGATGCTTTTCAAGTGTTTGCAGAGGCCACATGTGAGCTGGCCCAGTTCCCAGTGCTGGTGTAGGCTGGGGGCCTGGGTCTGAGGCTGTGACCACACCAGGCACTGGGCCTTCTCTGTGTCCGCAGATGGAGAGTCTCTCTTGTGTCCCTGGGAGTCCTTACTTGGGAGGAGATACTCTGGAGGAGCCAGGAGAAGCTGGAACTGTGGAGAAAAATCTGGAGAAGTGGCATATATGCTTTGGATGTGCCACACACAGCTTGGGTCCTTATGGTTTTGATGTCTGTGACTATAGATGCTGTGGGTGGGAGAGAGAAATTGATGTGCCTGGCTTGGAAGCTTCTGATGGTATGGATCTGCTCTGAAGGATGGCTCTGTCTGCCATGCCTTGTGGGGTTGGGTCATTCCTCCCACGGGGGTCAGGCCATACTCTGTGGCTTGAGAACCTCTCCAGGGTCCTGAAAGAACAGGCTCTTTTAGCCAGGGCACTGATCTCTTAGCCATTGTGGTCCTAGAACAGTGTTGGTCCACACTGCCCAACCCATTCGATGCAGTTGGCTCCTGTCAGTCAGTCCCAAGAGACTGATTGGAGGCTTATTTTAAGTCTTGGGTGGGCTGTCCCCATCACACAGCAAGCTTTTGAGTCACCTCCTTTTGATGACAGCTGTTGTGTGTGCCCAGAACGAAAACTCGTCTTAATATTAGCCCAAGCAAAACATAATTAGGAAGGTAAATCGGCTGCTAAAAGCTTCACTGACTGAACACCGAGCCAAGAGTCCCCATGTTGCTTTCTGTGTCTTCTGTGCCCTTCCAAAGCTGGGCTGAAATCTCCACCCCCTTTTCTTTCGTGTCATGCTGGCAGTCCATTCGGCTACCTGAGACATTGAGTGCTCAGTAGGCGCTCACACGACGGGAAAGTAGAATTTAGTTAAGAATTGTGTGTTCTGTTATGTCCCTGTGCGCGTGAGTGGGAGTTGATTCTCTGAGAATTCCTAATTGCTCAGAGTGGAATGAGCATGGGACAAGACCTGAGAAGGTTTGGTTTATTTCACGAACCCACTGCATTCATTTCATGAATCCAATAGCTGTAGGATCCCGGGTAAGTCTCTGAGCGTCAACTCTTCCAGTGCCTGTTTGCAGAGGTGTTGTGAGGATCAGATGAAATGCTGTGTGAGAAAGCGTCTTGCATAGTGTCTGGAACGTTAATTACATGTGGGTCAGCTGCTGGCCATCCTCTTTCTCAAGAGAGAAAAAAGATGAAATCAGATGAGCGTGTAGTGGGAGGGAGGCAGTAACACAGGAAGGTCCTCAGAGTGGAAGATGCAGAGGACCGTGGTAGTTTGAAAGTCCTTGTCAATTCACAACACATCTCGAATCCTGGCTTTTAGTATTTACATGAGTAACCTGTATACCCTGGGCCTGGAGATCAGGCTGGAGTGCTCCTTGTAAATCTTGTAAGTAAAGGGAAGTAACACACACACACACACACACACACACACACACACACACACACACACACA